GAACGAAAAGTTACATCTTTATATGTACAATTTGTTATTAAGCACGGTCCAAAATTTTTTTTCATTGTTAAGATTTTAAAAGTAAAACACGTGAGTTTGAGGCGCGGTTCTAATTTTGTGTACAATTTCTGACCAATCACAATCGCATTGATCATTTTAATTAGTAGCCAATCAGAGAGAAACTCCATTATGCTACATACATATTACTCCATTATGTTGAAAGAAAAAGGCCCCGTGAAATCCACGGGACAAACCTTTTCGTATTACCTACTGCAAAACGTCCGTGAGTTATATTATATCGATATTCCTTTCGCATGTACGATGATGTGAGTTTGGAAGTACAAAATTAAGTGCATTTATCCATATATATTCAGTATATAAAGCGGTATGTTCCAAAAGATATTTTTCCAAGCAAAATGAAAAATAAAAAAAATAAATTACATAAAAAATCTAAAAAATTAAGTAAACAATTAAAACTTTTAAAAAAAATCAAAAGGTCAAAATGTACCCAAAATAAGGATGAAAATTACATAAAAGATTCTATCTCTAAAGAACATATAACTTACTTCAAATCTTCAGAATTCTATAACATAAAACCAATAGCAACTGGTTCATTTGGAACCATTATACGTGTTTCTTGGAAAAGCGATGATACTTTTTACGCTTTGAAGTCCTTTAATACTTATAAAATTACTCTTAAAGAATTTGTCAATGAGGTATATTATATATGTTATTTAATATTTTTAACTGAATTATATTGACGCTTTATAAATATATTGCCGCAGTTAAAATTACATCATAAGGTCGGTTTTCATGAAAACATTATAAGTTTCTGCGGAATCACAAGAATTGAAGGTGGTAGGTATTAAGAATTTATTTAATAACTTTGAATGCTTAATTAATTATTATTTTTATTTTTTATTCAGACTCTAAGGAACAATATTCGTTGGTTTTGGAATATGCTGATAGTGGCACATTAAATGATTATTTAAATCAGCACTTTAATGAACTTCAATGGGATGATAAGTTTGGCTTAGCGTTGCAATTGGCAAGTGCTGTATCATGTTTACATGATTTTGATATCGTTCATTGTGATCTGGTAAACTATTATCAATTTATTTATTATGTTATGATATTTTAAAATCTAAATTTTGACTTCTATTTTTCAATATGATTGAAGCATGCAGGCAACGTACTTATACATCAGAAAAAGATTAAGCTAGCAGACTTTGGATTATCAAAAAAAATCGATGACGCTTCTAGTACAAGCATCGATGGTATAATACCTTATGTAGACCCAAAAGCTTTTAATCATCAGCATACCATCAATAATCCAAAAAAAAATTACAAATTAAATAAAAAATCCGATATATATAGTATTGGTGTCCTAATGTGGCAAATTTCTAGTGGATGTCAACCTTTTGACTCTGTAGATTATGATATAACTTTAGTATTAGCTATAATTGGAGGAGAGAGAGAACAATTAATTGATGGTACTCCTATTGAATATAGCAACTTATATACAAGTAAGATAGTAATTTTATTATTATTATTATTTTTTTTATTTTTTGAGTTATTAATATTAATTATTGATACTTTACTAGGATGTTGGGATGATGATCCAATACTTCGTCCTAATATGCGGGAAGTATTTTCTACCCTTAAATCAATTTCTAATAATAGAATTGATATAACTATTGATAATTATGATCAACAAAAAGAAAATTCAGAAAATTTTAACGAAATGTCTACAGATATAAATAAGGATTTACACATAGACAACATAGATTTTACTGAGCATAGAACTATTGATAATAGTAGTCTTTTGACACGTATAAGTTTAATACCAACGCAGAACATTGATAATTCCTTTGAGAACCAATTTTTCAATGGTACAAGTTTTAACGATCCGAGCTTATTATGATCGACATCGTGAAACTTACAAATTAGATGCGAATTTATAAGAACGCTGAGTTCATTTTTTAATTGTTGGTGCACGTTTAGGTGAATCCTGAACTTTGAAAAGTATAAATGATAAAGTCTTCAATAATGTACAGTAGGACAGATTATTTGCGAAACTGTGATATTTATTTTCATTATAAAATCGCAAATATTTTTTTCGGTCAGATTTATCATAACAAAAAGAACTTTTTTTTTGGTAGTTTCCTAGAGCCTATATATATTAAGCAATTTTACGTTAAAAGTGCAAAAAATAAATTTTAGGACTTCACGTGATCCTGATATTACTTTTAAAATTCCATTATGTTGTGTCATTGTTATTGCAGCATTAAGAAATTTCTTAAATTTCATAATATACTTTGAAGGAAACCCATTATATTCGCTATTATGACAAAATAATCTGTTTCAAAATGATTTGTTAAAATTAAAATATTCATTTTTTTTTTGATTACCAAGGAATAAAAAAGAATATATTGTATAATTTCACTAGTAATTCACAGGTTTAATTTAACTTTTTATGATTTAAGAGTTTCTTAATAAAATTATATTTATATTAATTCAAATGAATTTTATTTATTCAAAATTTCAAATTCGTAAAGTTGGATTGATTCTAACCATGTTTATATCGAGCAATCAATTAATAAACATAGATTAAGCTCACTAACAATGAACAAAACCATATTCTTTGTTGCTCAAAGTAGGAATCGTCAAACGTAACTTTGGTATCTACCCGTATACAGTTTAATTAGGAGTGATATTGATATCCATTTAAAGATAAAAATGACTGCTAATAGCATTATCAAAATTAGAAATTCTCTTCCTTAAATGAACATCTAAATATTTACAATTCTAGAAATGATTGGTGTTTGGGGTTATTTATTTCTCGTGATGACATAATTTTCATAAGAAAGTGGGTTAAGAATTTAAAATACCTTTAATTCCAACCGGAATTATGTAGAATCAACATGTGATGTGCAACGTGTAGATTACCAACCAAAAAATTCTAGAATTCCATTAAACACAATTCACTTTCTAAATTTAGAATTCCACAAAAACGGATTTCATACTCCCACTAATTTAAAGAATGTAACGAGAATTTGTATAAATACTGGACGTCATTTTATTTACTCTCACAATTTTTTAAAAATTACGACCTTTTCAACCTTATAACAAGAATAAAGTGTAAATCTTTCTTTCGCAGTATATAATGCCACCTTCAATAGAAGAAAGTATTGGAGTACCTCTTGAACCAAGAATTAGCAACAATAAACATTACGAACCGCTCAAAAAATTTCAAAAAGATGATCAACATCATGTAGAAGATTTACGAACGACACCCAATAGCAAAGCTCAAGTATTAGTTTTGATACCTTCACTTACCTACGTTGTATATATGAATCGAGCTTTGAAGAATATTCTATTGACTTTGATTTTTGATTGGACAATGCCGCTATTTAGCCCGTTTAATTTTTTATTGTTGATTACGTTGTTTCCTACGTTGATTGTTGCCGTTGTTGCATTAGAATTTGCTTTACATATTGGATTTAAGTTTGGGTTGGATTCCGTGATTCAAAGAATTGGAGATAAATGGGGAGAAGGTTTATCTCCTGTCAATTGGTGTAGGTATTTTTTTTTTTTTTGATTAAGAAAAAGGAAAACTTTAACGTATATATATATATATATTCTATTTTTCTAGGGGACCCAAGGATATTTACATCAGAAGTTGATGAAATCGTAAAAGATGGAATTAAATCGTTGGATGCTCCTTTGCCACTATTATTGCCCGAAGAAGAATTGGATGATTCGATATTTGAGGGTGCGATGGAACATCGTGGATTCAATCTCGATATGGCCGAACTTCTATTATTTATGTCAAGCATCATTTATGAGCGTAACAACGAGTTGGTTAAAGATGCTCACAAGGTTTTGAATAAACTCTCAAAAGGGAAAAAACCAAGAGATAATTCAGAAGAAGATCAACTTATTAATTCCGTTACTACTTTGTTAAAACAAAGTGAAACCCGTATACATGAGCAGGCACGAAGATGGGGAATTAAATTTACTTCATTATCAGAGTTAAACTCATTAGGAGGTCCTTTTTCAGGAATGTTTTGGAGTGAAGAACATGATTTTATCGTCGTTGTATTTAAAGGAACTAATCCAAGTAACTTTGAAGATTTTGTTATTGATTTAATGTTTCAACGAGTTGATGCGAGGAGTTTCGTATTTGGGGAAGTCCATGAAGGATTTTACACTGCTTTATTTCCACAAGAAGGAACCGCCGCAAGAGCAAGTCGTGCGTCTCCCTACATAACTATGATCAGAGCGATTAGAGCGAAAGCTGCTGACATCAGAGCTGTTCATCCTAGTGATCGGCCGATAAATGTTTGGATAACTGGTCATTCGTTAGGTAAGATTTCTGCGTCACTCTTATCAAATGTAGTAGCACCTTGTTTTTTTTTAGTAAAAAAAAAAAAAAAAAAAAAAAAAATCTTTAATAGAATTAATTACTGATTTGAATTCGTGTCCTATTATTAGGAGCGGCACTTGCCAGTTTATTTTATGCTCGCCTTCTAAAATCGACAAACGATCTTGGTCCAAATTGCATTTTAAGAGACGGGTACATGTTTGGTAGTCCAAGTGTCGGAGATGCGGATTTTGCAGCAGAATTTGCTTCATATGCCAATACTCCATATGATAGGCAAAGCACTCTTTGGAGAATAATTGACGATAAAGATATCATTACTAAAATTCCACCTGGTTGGAATGATCCAACAATTAGACGTTTGGTTAATAGAAATAGCATTTTGAATTACGCACATATTGGAGAAGGGATTAGATTTTTCCAAAGTGGAGCGGAACCTGCTCCAACGAAAAATTTGTTTTCTTCTGGTAAAACACCAGTTATTATTGATCTTGGACCAGAAAACAATAATAACTTTGGGAAAGGTGAAGGGAAAAAGTACATGCTAAGAAAAGATGTCTTTCACGGCAGAGAGAAATTTGAACAATTGACTGGTAGTCCGTTGGTCATGATTGAAAATTTGCTGCCTACTTTTTTCAGAGATCATTTACCTGCTAGATATTTTTCTGTTTTGCAAAAAGCGAGAAGATATTTTGATGATGATATTGTTGTGGAAGAAGACAATAATTTAGTAAAAATTCCTTCAAAAAAAAATTAACGATTTTATTTCTTATCATACTAAGTAAGGCAAGTAATAATAGTCTTTCTTTCGCGCCTTTTTTGATGTTAAAAAAGAGTTAATAGTTTAACGATACATAAGAAGTTGATTGGCTAAAAACAAATTTTTTGAATCGTCATAGATGATTTATTTTATTTTATTTATTTCACAATGTAAATTATTTTTCAAAATATTCAATTGTATTATTTAATGAATTAAATATCCTTTATTACATGTTATCTCGGACATTTTGTTTTTTTGAAAAATTTTAAGATATGGCGCAGTAAATCAAATTGGTTTTGTTACATGTACAAGCATATAGTTTGAAACTTAAAATTCTGAAACGTTGGTTACTACATCATGTACATAAATGTAAACAAAGTAAATGAAATTTTCTTTTGTTCCTTGAAAAAGAAAATATTCGTAGTAAGAAATTTTGTTTCATTTTTATGAATAATGATCACATTATATATAAAATAAAATATTTAGAAATGAGAAATGAAAAGTACATTATATTATACTACATTCTTTACATAAAATAATAAAATAATCAATTGATGTTATTGATTCCAGTTTTTTTTTTTCTAATTAATTACATTCTCGTCGCATTTAATTGTTCTTCTCAATTCCCCTTTATTATAAAACCCAAGCGTTCATAAACGTGAATAGTCCACCAATTATGATATTAACACCCGTTAAATTCCATTCTACAACATTAACATAGCCGAGGTTGGTAGGTGTTGGCGCGCTACCGGTTAAAACAAAAACAGCGCTTTTTGATGAATTTTTTGTTGAATCAGGTTGCTTTCCTGGAGGACTAATTATTAAAAGTGGAATTATTTGTTACCTTAATTGTTTTATGTCATACGAACAGAGGAAAAAAATAAATAAATGAATTATACCTTTTAGGTTGCGGAGGAGGAGTGACTTCAGGGTTCTGTGGTTCTTTTGGTTGTTCTTTAGGTTGCTCATTGGGTACTTGTTTTGGAGGCTCCTTTGGTTCTTCACCGGGAGCAGGCTCCGGTACTTTAGCAGGTTCTTTTGGTTGACCGATAACTACCGTTTCAGTTGGATTAGCATCCGGTGGTGGTACTGCGACCGTAACATCTGGAGCTTTTATCGTTACCACTTCAGTTTCTACTACAGTTTTTTGTGTAAATACCCTCAGAGGGGATAATGTTATTATGAGTAGGATTGATATTATTAAGAATGCAGATGATTTTTGTAGTGGGTTCATCATAATTATCATAATTAATGTGTAAATAATGATTTTGTTTTTTTTTAAAAAAAAAATATAAAGTGTAAATAAATATGAATTAAAAAAAAGGAAAAGTACCGAAAGAAATATTTAAATCATTTTCATTGTTTGACAAAAAAAAAAAAAAGAGAAACAAAAACTATACTATTTATATTTTCTTTGAAAGAACTTTATATATAGGTACAATATAGCACATAAAAAATATATAAATACTAAATTGCATACAACAAATTAATTGTGTGATCTAAATCGCGTTTAACATTTCATAAATGGTGTAGATCGTCATTCCCCTGGTTTTTGTGTCGCAAACATATGATAATTCAAAGAATACTGTATATATAAACTATATACAATAACCCTTCTCCTCCAAATGATTATTCAATTGATGAAATGAGATTAACCTTCATATTTCCCGATTAAATTGAAAATCTTTAACGTTAAGGAAATATACCACTCGTAAGATCGTCTTAACGGTTTTCGTTTCTTTTTTTTTTTTTAAAAAAAATATTTAAAGTATGAAAATATACTAACAAATAACACTTCGATGTTTGTAAGTCTTTCGTCGTCTTCATCGCATTGCTCATTTAAAAAATTATTCATTACAATCTAATCCTCTATCTTTGTTCTTCAAAATGTTCATATATTTTTCATCCGCTGTATATACAGGTTTATATAACTTTCAAGGCGAATTACATGATTATTCATGCATAACAATCGAAGGACAATTTTAAAATCTTGAACTTGTAATAAAGTTGCACACAACTTTTAATTTTCATCATATGGGTGGTATGCTATTAAAATTGAGGTACGATTTACTATGTCTCGTACCTCAATTTTAATAGCATACCACCCATATGTTCGTGGTAATGTTCGCTTCTTTATTATACAGTACAGAATTTGTCAAACAATTCTAAGCCGTTTTAAAGTATACTGAACTGACTTATTAATAAGAACGTCATATGCAATGAATTCTTTCTATATATTCATAAATGACGATAGAAACTTTTAGGCTACATCATTTTTCCAACGGCAGAAGTTCTCACGCAATAAAAAAAAATCTGGCGTGATGCGGTGCGCAAATTTGATCTATTTACGCATTAACGCGTCTTCATTATTTAATTACTTGACATAACGCGTAAATTTATATATATACTTTTTAACCTTTTTTATGACTTTTTGTTTTTGCTTTTATAAAAACTCAAAACTGCCAGAAAACAATTTATCTATTTATTTATTTTCGTCTGTGAAAAAAAAGATAATTTATAGGATGGATGGTAAGGATCGAGCTTTTCCAAAGAAAGTTAGTCCTTAATATTTGTTGGAGTTACCTCCAATTTCGTAAGGGAGGTAATTTAAATAAAATATTTATTTATTAAAACAATTGCGATGTAAAGAAATTTGGGCGAACGTCGATCAAATTTAGGACGATGAAAAAGAATTAGTTTATTAATAAAATAAAGTATAATACAATTAAATTCAACTATTACTATCTAGTCGATAGGCCTTTAGAGAAAAGAAATTTTCTCATTCAATCCTATCGTTTGCATTTTTATAATTTCCATGGCTTTGTTACGGAATTCTCTTAAAAATTGCGGGTGATGGACGGAATACAAATTAATTTATCCCTGATTTCGGAAATAACCGAATTGACATATCGTTTTTATCTGTCAATTAGGTTCGAATAATCCGAAGTGTCAGTTTCTGACATCTCTGCCAGAAATGACAGGGATCGATCGTCAGAGCTGCAGCGATTCGATTAACTGTCAAAGATCGAGGTAACTTTTTAGCAAGCCCTGGATTTGTCCTTTGTGTTAGTATGCAATGGTTTCATATTGCCTCGAAGCGTTTCGGTAAAACGCCTAACATTAAACTCGAATCCAGGATGTTGTTTTACTGACTGGTTGACCGGCCATTTAACAATAATATAATTTAAGTTCTTGATTGATGATATTAATTTATGCTTTAAATAATACTAACATGGCACTTTCTAAAACTTACGATTTTTTATATTTTTTACTTATTTCTTTTAAGCTGACTTGATATGCAAATAAGTTTACATGATATTTCTTAACAAAATTTTAAATTTTATTTAATTAAATTTAATCCAATTTGGATTTTATTTATTTTAAGTTGTATTTTTAAATAATAGAATAATAAAATATTATATATTTATATTAGTAGTTTTATAATTAATATAATTAACTATTATTGTTATAATTTCTATAATAATCATAATAATTCTTTAATAAATTTGCAAATATTATTTAATAATATCAAAATAATTTTATATTTCTTTTTATATATTTTAATTTTAGAATGCTAAAGATAGCTAAATATCTTTAATTAATTAAGTATATATTTACAAATTAGAATTTATGTTTTCTTGTTTTCTTGTATAGAAACATTTATTATATTTGAAAGGATGGATTAAAATTTTATTAAATATAATTTTAAGCAATATAGACTTAAATTTAAAAAAAGATGCCAAAATATTGAAAGAAATAATGATTATTAATGATAAATAGATCTTGTTGCTGATTTAATAGAAGTATTATCAACATTTGCAAAAGTAACAGAAGTATTAGGAGAAAGTAATTATGTAATTAATAGTTTGTATATTCTAATGTTAATGGAAATCATTAAAATACTTACAACTGATTTGTCATATGATCAAGATTCTGATAATAATGAATGAGAAGAAGATATATTTAAAAATAATAATAAGTAAAAAGAGGTATTAAACAAAATTATTAAAATTAATGAGCTAATTAATACTTTTAGTTTACTTGATAAAGTTAAATCAGGATTATATACAAATATAAAAAATATTATCTTATACTTACTACTGAAAATCTATTTTTTTCAATATTTGATTCTCTGTTAAAAAAACATGACTTTACTTCAATTGATTAACAAATTAATACTGAATGACATTTATATAAATTGCATGAATAAGAAAAAAAAAATTATTAAAAAAAAACTTGTATACTTAACTCATTAGAAATATCTCAATTAAAATCTTTAGCAAAAAAAAACTTTGATGTCATAACTTACTAAAGGTAATATAATTATTCTTAATGAAGTTAATAAATATCTTCAATTACCTCAAATTCCGTTAGATTCAGATTCTCTTATATAATAGAATGAAAAAAAAATCCTGTTTTAAGTTATTTTGCTTAAAAGTATTAGCAGTTTCTGCAATATCAACTGTAAGTGAAAAGTCTTTTTCTAATACTATGCAATTTATTAAATAACAAATATATATATATAAAATCAGAATAATCAGAATTATTTAAAAATTATGTTTTTGAAATAAAATGCATCTAATTTTAATACAATTTATCTTAAAATAGCCAATTAACATATTAATATTCTGATAAAAAGAAAAAATTTGTTGGATTAATAGAACTAATAATAATCATTTTTGATATATTTTTTTTTTATATAAGTAAATAAAATAGTTGAAAAAAAAATAATCAGAATAATATATTATAATAAGATGTAATTTTCATATATATTAATAATCTAAACAAATTGAAATTTTATGTAGTGATATAATAATTATCTTAATAAATGATCTATATATTTATTTATTTATTTAGTTTTGGCTGTCAAGTTTTTTCTTACCAATTATAGCAAAAGTTATACTTGAACAATATTATACAATTGTAGAAATAATGCCATCTATTAGGGTTCCTCAAAATCGAATCGAATCAAATATTTAAGCAATTTGAATTTGATTTGATTTTTTCAAATCGAATC